CACCGGCACTCTCTTCTAGCGACCCCGGCTACGTGAACAGAACCTGATCCGCTTTCCCTGCCAACCCCCTAGGCACAAAACCCGGCTGGGTGGTTTTGGGCCGGGCCTCTCCCTCAGCCCGGCTCACCTCGCAGGGTTGTTGTTGTGGGGAAAACAGGAGGCGGAAAGAGGATTAGGTCTGTTCGCCGCCTTGAGTTATTTACAAAAATAATAAAGGCGGGATTTTTAAAAAATCTGAAAGGTTTTTCCAGCGGCAAGTCCAGCAGCAATTCCCCCCACGCCCACGCCCAACACGCTCGACTGGGGGGGGATCTCCAGGAGCCTTGGCCCTGCTCAGGGACAGCCTGGCCACCTCGGCAGGCCGATGCAGCTATTCTGAAATGGGAAGGAAGGCAAAACACGCCCGGCAACTCTGATCCGCGCCAGTTCAGAAGATGAACTCGGGCAAGCCATTAATCCAGCAAACCACAGTCCAGCCAGCATATTGTGTGCGCAGCCAGCGAGAAGTAAAACGGTCTCCGGACTGCGAATGGGGGTGGGAGAGAAGCTAAACGCTGCCCGTCTGGGTCACGCTGCTTCCTTCAAGGTCATCCCTTCCCTTAGAAAAGAGGGCGGCCCCAGACCTCCTCGGGTGGCAAACCCAGCGCGGCCCGTGCCTGTGCCTGTGCCTGGGCCTGTGCCTGGGCCGCCCTGCGTGGGGCTTCCTAAGGCAGAAGCATCACCTCCCGTCTGCCGGAGGAGTTTCACCTGCAAGAAAGGCAGCTTGCCGGCCGGCCGGTCTTCTGCAAAGACGTAAGTGCGAAGGCAAACCGAGGCACTGGAGGCTCTGATGCGCCCTTCCGTCCCTCCCTCCCCGGGCGCTGCTCCCGAGTAATCCACACGCAAAACTAAACTTTTAAAAATATCAGCAGAAAGGTTTCAGAATAGCAGAAGCTGCCGGTCGGGTAGAACGTTTAGCGACGCCCTGGTTCCCCCGATGCATCCCGACGACACTCTTCGCTCTTAAGCCGGTTGCGCGGGACGCGGCACCCTGGTGGGTCGGTTGCTTTCAGGGGGCAAAGAGACAGAGGCAGGAGCCCCATCACCCCAGAAGTGCCCGGGGCTATGCCGGCAGAGGAA